AATTCTGTTGAGACACTATGGGAAGCATTTATAGAATGCGCTAAAAAACTTACAAAAAATAAGAAGTTCTCAGTAGATGGCAAAACAAAAGAAAAAATATGCTTTGATTTTGCGAAGTACCCTAGTAAGCTTGTGAAATATATAGAAAGGTACAATATATTCTTTCACAAGTTGGTCTACCATATGCGTTATAATGAGCATGTATCAATTCTAGAAGAAATTGGCCCAGTTTCATCCATGCGAAAAAAATAGATAATTGCCGATTTACCTCTCTACCTCATATATCAGAAATTATAGAGCTTAATAACTTTAGATATTTATAGTATTCCCACCTTAAAACTGTGATGAAAGAAGAAACACTTAAATAAGTGATTTATTGTTAAGTACTCTTAGCGGGGGGTGACAAATCCGGCTAAAAAAACTTACAATATTATTTATATATTTTTTTCTCATGCAATAATACTGGCTAACTTCAATTTCTATCTCCGGTTAGGTCACGGAGTGGCCTCTTTCAACTCAGTCCTCTGATCACATAGCCCGGCCTCAGATATATAGCTAATCGTTAGCAGTATTTAGATATTTTTTCTTGTGCAATATTAACGGTTTTATTTAAACTCAAGCTTTATTAATATAATAGCTGAATTACGCAACCAATTTTTCCAATACATAGGCTTCGAACCTAATGAAATTCGTCTCCCAATCACAGGAGAGGATGGACAGGAATTTCATGAGATAATAGCAGATCGAGAGAGAAATAGCAGTTATTGTAATAGATGAGTATCGATTTTTTGCTATATTATGAGCATAATAGTAAGGGTAGTGATCAGATTCATATTAGATTGTTATTAGAATGTAAAGTGTTTTAGGTAAAAAAAATCTTAATAAACCCACCCAAAGATTTACCAAAAATGATATTAGCTTGCATTGAAAAAAGATTTAAAGAAGTTCCACTAGCATCAGTACTTATACAGTAAATAATTAGGTGTTATCCCTGGCCTATCTGGTACCTCTTCTCTATTTATATATTTTTTGTGGGCAAGATATCTGACTTTTTCTTTTGGCATGATGCTCTCTAAATTCCATAGCTTTTTCACAATGACTAACTATATAATTACGATTAATAGAAAAAGCAATATTGAGTAGGTGAGCACCGATGATAGTAATTTGTCTATATCGATAGAGTTCCCTGTACCACCTAATGAAATCTTTTCTTTAGAAATAGTAGCAGGTATGATTTGTTTTGAAGAAGCGCTAGAGCTCTCTGGCTCATTATTTTTTTCGCTACTACTTTTTACATATGAATCGGTCCTCTTGGGACCATCTGGCTGATTATTCTTATCAAAGTATCCCGGGGGTAATGAATTAATCACAGATTGAAGCGATTTCACTTCCTCTGATTTTGTATGACATTCGGCTTTATATTTGGCGAGAGAAGTCTCTGCGCAAGCATATTGGAAAAAAAGTTTAGAATTTTCAACCTTCAATTGTCTGGCCTCATTATTGATCTTCATGTATTCATTCCGCAACTTAGCATTATAATCTTATATCTTGAATGAGTCTTGTAAGATGCGATATATCTCTTTCTCAAGATCATATGCTCCCATTTATTTACATTAGCCATAAACATGTAAAAAAAAACTTTCAAATTTTATGTTAGAGAATAATCACAATAAATAAAAAATGAATACGAAGGTTATCGATTGTTTTTATTATTATTTTAGATAGCGTATTAGAATGTATTCTACCCACCTAAAACAATAAATTATGCTTTCTAACGTCTCCTCTCATTCTAAAATAATAAATATTGAATTCTAATTTTTTTATCTATTTAAAATGATAAATATTAATATCTAATATTTTTTATGCATCTAAATACACTATCTAAAAATATCAGAAGATTATGTCTACCTTGATTTTAAAAACCCATTATCGGCGAGGTGCCACTATTTTAACACCTGGACAGATTGAAGAAATTAGATATCTCAAAAATAAGGTTCCGGTGTATATGATAGTAAATAAGTACTATATTAATAAAGATCGTGTTCATAATATATAGAATGATTGTGAGTGTTCACAGCAAAATAGAAACCACTTTTTCGAGGAGCTTAGGAAAGTACAATCCATCTCATCAGTCCCTCTTTCAGAAAATGACCCCCAAGAAAAAGAAAACAATTATCCAAATGTAGGATCTTTAAAGTAGTTAGACGAGTCAATTACAAGTAAATTATCTAGTTCGTCTAGGACCCCTTCATTTTCTGAATCCATTGAGGCAGGTAGGTTCCTCTTGGATCGTGTACAAGAAAAGCAAAAAAAGAAAAAGAAGTCATCAAAACCCAAACCCATTCAAAGTTCTGATTTATCTGAGATTTCAACCAAAGGCTCCTGCCAAAATTCCTCACTAGACATCTCATATGATCTAATTGCTTCAATTGGAAAAAATCATATCGAAGCAGAAGAAGCTATACGTAAATCAGAAAAATGCCTAGCTCATAACTCATCTTTTAGCCCATTATATTCAGCAAAAGTACTCTAATAATAGTTAATATGAAAAAAGAGACCAGAGGTTTTTATTAATCTCAATTAATTTAGCTTCAGAAATGAGAGTGGTATATAACATTTTTTTCAAGCTTCTTATAGGTCATGCATTTTTTTTTAATACATCGTCATACCCACTTAACTCCTGTGAGTCCTGTGATATGTTATCCAGAGTCGAGAAATCATCACAATCCGGAGTTATATTTGCGCAATTCACCTCGAGCTTGTTCTTGACCTTGTGCATATTGACTGGAATAAAAAATTCCTTACCATTATATTCTAGTCTCAATTCTCACTTTGAAGCAAGTAAATCATAGTTATATTTATCAAGCAATGTATTAAGTAAAATAAGCATCGGCTTAGGATACTTAACTACTGCAAAATCGGCATATATGGTATACCTGGGAGCGAAATTCACTGGAACGTTTCTAACAATTCCAAGAGATTCTGTGGGAGTAGTAGCAATACTCTAAGGTTATGTTTTTCTTTCATGTCAATCTCTAGCTTCAATCGTTTGGCAATGTCCTTAGACATAATTGCAAAGTTAGCACCAGGGTCAACTGTGGCTCCGGGAATTACCAAGTGCTTGATTTTACATTTAGTAGTAACAACATCTGTGGCGAGTTCTTTTCTCTGGACAAAATCTATTTCCATAGGGTCATCGATGAACTCATCATCCTCAGAATCGGCTAGTGTTTTAGAAATTTCAGCTTCTGGTTGAAAAGAGGGGTTGTAATAGTGCCAAACTTTTCATTAAGCACCTCCTCAATAATTTTTTTAATAATTTTTTCTAAGCAGGATTGTTCATCTTGTGACAGGGGCTTTAAACTTTGCTTTTCCTTTTTGGAAGTAGAAACTGATACTAAAGAAGGTGTATCCATATCTTTTACTTTATGAGACTTATGAGTCTTTGATTTCTTTTTCTCTAAAGAAGTACTAGTGCTATGTTTTTTCTTTATTTTTTTTTGCTCGAGATAAATTAATATCAATTTCAGCTTCAGACTCCGATTCAGATGAAGAACTTTCAGAGCTAGAATTAGAATTAGATTCAGATTCATTAGTAGAAGTATCTGAGTCAGAATCTATGCGAGCATTATTAATTTTGCCTTTCTTTTTATACTTCTTTTTATATTTTTCGAGAATAGCTACGAGAATTATGTTCTATTCTATCATAATTTGAACAATATCGATGGAATTTTTTAACGGTTTTAGCAACAGCATTAACATTTTTAGCCATTTTTACTATATTCAAAGACATATCTGCCATACCTTTAGTAATTTTATCAATACTATTACTATTTGAGGTAATATTATTTTTTATCTGCAGTTTTGGAAGTAAAGAGAGCTTGAACAGGAACAAATTCTGGAGTTTGACCGCAAAGCTATAGTAATAATCTACCAGTATTTTCTTCAAGAATTTTTTTGGGATGTTTCTGTGGGTTGTGGTCGAAATTGTAAAGAAACAGATTGTGAGGCAGGCTGTTGGCTTCTTAAATCTAATTGTGAGTTTACTATGTTTTTTACTTTAGTTTTTGTTATACTACTATTGTCCAAACGTGGTTTAGTATTTGATTTTGTTGATATAGTTGTTGATTGGGATGTAATAGATAGGCTTGAGAAATTTGGTTAGGAATAGAGCTTTTATACAAATTCAGAGGATGTTCTAACCACAAATTTTTAAGTTCTGTAAAAAATACATTAATGCTAGCAGGGTTAGTGATTTTTATCCAAGTATAAAGCTCTCCTGATAAATGACCCTTAAGAAGTTCTAAGATATTGGTATCACTATCAGCAACTTTTAATAAAAGAGGACGAATTCTAGCCTCATATGTTTTTGGATTATCAAATGGTAAGAATTTTTCTTGTGCTAATCTTTGAGTAGCAACTTGCTGTATACCAACTGTTTCTGTTTGATATTTATGACACAACCAAATAATGAAAAAGGCTGGGGTATCAATATTATTACCAGCATGTTGAGCGGGTATATTTATATATTTTCTAGCCATCTTACTTTTTAAAATATCTGCTCAAAGCGGATTATCAAAGGCGGCCGCCGTAATCGATAGTAAAGTTAATATTTGATTAATTCTTTGATACCATTTATCTGGTAGGATTTGTCCACTATAATTTGGAATCTCTGCAATTAATGGTACAATACTGGTTAAGTCTCTTGCAACTGTTGCTATATTTGGTGGATTATTATGTAGTGCAAAAATTTGTTGATTTAAATTATTAATTAATTGTTCAGAATTTCGGGCCCGATTTTTCTACTTACACCATTTATTTTCTATAGTCTTGCACTTATTTTTCCATTTGGTGTATCGATTTGTTGTAAGATTTAAGAGATATGTAGTAATTGCCCTATCCATCTTACAATCTTGTAGTTGCTGGCTGTTTTGCTGGGCTTAAATCTGAAATTGTCTATTTAAAAGGCATGATACAAATTTTTCTTGGAGTAGCTCCGATATACGCTTATTTTTTTTTATACAAGTTGCTTTTAATAAGTGATAATTAAGTTTGTGGGCTTTATAAGCTTGATAAAGAAGATCATAATCATTTTGAAGCATGGCTAACTGGGTTTGTGAATCAGCTATCTGGGTTTGTGAATCAGCTATCTGGGTTTGCAAATTTGTTAGCTAGGTTTGCAAATCTACTACTCGATTTTCTGCATTGATTGCACGTGCATTAGCTCGTGGATATATTTCTAGCACTAATCTTTCAAGCCTATTTCCGGCATCAGAAATTATATTAAGATAATCTACAATGCTATTTATTGTAGGTGTTATTGTAATTGAGCTTCGGAAATATAATCCAATATTATAGATTTCTCATTGAATCCTATGATTCTGGATATTGGCTTGATTTTCAGGTAAAGATAATATGAGTGACTCTGGTTGTTGCGCCATATTCCCGTCTTCTCACAATTCTTGCTTAAAGCCAGATATATTATTGTTATATTCAGTAGATAAAATTAAGTTTTTTGTATTTTCTATATATAGTTTTTTGAGCTTGCGAGAAAAACAGTCGATTTCATCCTGAAAAATTACTAACCTTTGTTCTAAATAATCAATATAATTCTCTCGACTTTTAGAATCTTGAAACATCTTTTCTAACTATTTTTTAAGGTTAGATATTTCTAGGCGTAATGGATCTAGTTCTTCATCCCAAATCAAAATTTTTTTTTCAAGATATTTAATATAATTCTCTTTTGAGTCCAGATCCTGCTGTAATTTACAAAATCGATTATATATTGCTGATAAACCATTTTGAGCTTTTTTGATTCTTTCGCTAGATAGAATATCTCTTGATGTCATCTATAATATACCGACAATTTTAAAAACTTTGCTGGATAAAGAATTTTATTATAGTAAAATGTATAAGAAATGGGAGAACTGCAAATTGTAATAGATCTAGATGAAGTTCATAGTATAAAACAGAATCTTATTCTATAGAAGATATATTATCGACCTACTGGATATTTTTCTAACTCTAAATCCTTAAGAAATGCGTATAAAAAAGAGGGGTACTAATTCAGTCTTCAAGCTGTAAAAGAATGGCTAAATCAACAAGAATCATATCAGATTTATAAATGCTCTTCTAAGCATATCTTCAGGTTCAGCTATGGGTAAATAGCATGACCAAATTGTGTCCATCAAATGGCTATTTGCTTTGATTGCTGGAAATTGATAAAGATTACAGATATAAAACCAAAAAAAACGTATTTTAGTGAATAGCACAGATATGGCTATGAAGTCAAACCCGAAGACTTGATGAAATATCATTGGGATAATGAATGTTCCAAAGCTAAGACTAAAAAGATCTCTTTGGAACCAGATAAATCGTATTTGTTAACTAGTCCCAAGGAAACAACTTCTTTTATACAATGTAGTGTAAGTGTGCCCAGTTTAATTAATACTAATAGACTTGGGAAGGGAAATACAAACAAATTATTTATCTCATCTCTGTTTGCAAAACAAATTAATTTAGTACTATCTCATTTTAATCTACCAAAAAATACCATATTGATATTGAGAGATGAGACAGAAATTACAATTGTTTAACTGACTGATTCTGAGAAATAGTTTAATTATAGATTATTACTTTTGACTGAATAATATAATTTATTTTTTAGAATATGATCGAAGTGATATAATAACTATTTTTTTCTAACATTAATTAATAATATATTTACTCACCACAATGCATGTAGGCGTGTATGAAATGAGAAAATACAATAGATGCAAAAAAGAAGCAATAGCAAACTTAGGTGGCAAATCGCAAAAGAAAGGCATCTAAATATACAACTAAAAGTAAAGATAACTGCGTAATTATATTATATAATATTGGCAGAAGCCTTCATTTTTCAAAATATGTTCTCGGGAATAGTGAAAGTATCTAGACATGAATAAATGTATTCTTGATGGGTACATATAACAGAAAAAAGCTAGCATCTAC